TTGCTCTAGTCACTTCAATTCAGGGTTGCCCATGCAACTTGGTTAGCACAGCTAGCTCTTCTAGTTGGAGGCTCTAATTCTTAGGATTCTGCAAATTAATTGTAGAAAACTGGCTTTGGTTTGGGCTAAGCAAAAATTATCACACTGTCTACAGATTTATCATGCTGATTTGGGCGTTTAACAGTTAAAGTCCAGGCTGCATGTTCTTTGTCCGGTATATGGCAGATGGGACAGTCCGGTTTCCAAGTGTTTATGTGGGGAATTAATATTAATCCTGGCTTCTGAGTGAAGGTCTTGCCTGCTTTATGCGAGAGCAGGCTCTATACGAGATTCCAATTGCTACACAGCATGATCTCAGGGCTGTTCCTCTGAAACAATGCTTGGTTGCGATATCATCCAGCAAGTGCAAAAATGCACTACCACACTCAAGGATCATTTGGCATGTTTATCGACTATGTTAACCCATTGAGTGGCGGCATGCACTGTCCACCTGACTAGTAAAATTGTATGGCGTTAGACAGAGTAACCTAACAAAGTACGGTGCATTGCCACTTAAGGTTACAGAACACCTTTGAGTGTTAATTTTGCCTAAAAATTTTTTATTGGTTTCTATTAAAGCATTAGACTAGTTCTGCTATCTGACCAAGTTTGGACGGAAAATGTTGAAAACTCGCAGAGTTATTTAATAAAATACATTTCGCTGCAATAAGAAAAACATTGATAATGTAATATTCAAATTCAATTTTCTCCCGAAAAATGTTACGGTAATTACTGATTTTCAAACGAGTTGTGCTCCTGCGGGTTTTAACCAAATTTTTTCAAATTTTCACAGGACATAGCTAAAGACGTCAGTTTCAAACTGGTGTTCGGCTTTTTTTTAATTTTGGATATTTTAAAAATAAAAAGCAATTGACTCAAACAATTCAGAAATATATTGCAGTCGTCAAAGAAATCGCCATATCAGCGGAATGACGAAATAAACAAAAATTTCCGAACACAATTTTTTAGAACAACTATTTTACTGTATAAAAATGATATTTTCATAAATATAACTTAAAACCAGCAGGAGCACAACTCAAAAGCGTAACGGTACCGCGATTTAAGATTTTCCTAAATAATTCTTACATTATTTTATTGTTTGTTAATTTTATAACTTTACCATATTTTGCATGCACTGGAGAACATTTGGTGAAAATTCGATGAAAATCGGACTGATATTGAGCGCGCAGTAGCGATTTTCCGCAAAACGCCAAAAAGGGTGTCCTGTAACCTTAAAGGGTTAAAAACGTAAATACCACAGCGCAACACTTGTACATATACAACAGCAATCCTTTTATACATTTAATGACTTCATATTTACATATTGGTGAAATATCAAATGTCCATATATTAGAGATGTCCACGAACTTGTCCCTAGTTGGAAACTCAAGTATTCATATCTTTTGTATAAGTTGTCCCTCTACAAACCAACTTTTAGTCATTATACATGAGTTGAATTTGCATTCATTTGCTTCGCAAGTCGCAACAAACTGAACAAAGTACTAAACGATAAACTGTGCAAATGATCGAGCGTCTTGAGCGATATATCGAAGTCTTTCAATTAAACGTCTCATACGAACAAATCTCACTGAGTTTTTTCTACAGAAAATGTTGATCCATTTGATCGATCGCCGTACTATGAGAAAAGCTTGAAATACAAAATTCACAGGGAAGATTGAAGAATTTCGGAGAGAAAAACTGTTTGTCTTCGAGTTTCACCTCTAGCATTCACCCCCCGGTTGAGAAAAGTAACAATTACGTAATGTTGGAATCACGCGACCAGCGTTTACCAGGGCTACGCCGCCGCCTTCAATTCGCGGCTAGCCTTGGATACGAGGTTGCTATTTCTATGCGTTGCTTGGATAGTCAGTTGTAAAAATAAAAAATTTAGACATGAAAACTCATTGAGCCTGTATCACAGCATCAGAGAGCAGAAATTGATCTGTATAAACATGCTTTTTATATTTGGGTTGCAGGTTAATCAACATCCCAGCGGGCAAAATGACGTTTATCCAACGTTGAATCAACTTTGGAAATGACCTTCCAGACGTTGGATAGACGTTGAAAATGGGTTGACTATGCAAATTGGATCGACGTTACTGTTTCTACGTTGAAACAACGTTGAAATTAGGTTACCAATCTCGTCAACCATAATTCAACGTTGAATCCACGTTAAAACAACGTTGAGATTGGTTCACAAATGGACGTCGTACATTTAACCATGAATGAACGTTAATTCAACGTCTGTTGGCTGCTGTTGAACCAATGTTTGTAAAACAACGTCAGAGCAACGTAGATATTAGGTTGTCGACGTCGCAACCTTTTTTCTACCAAATTTCAACGTTGAAACAACCTCGTGTGCCCGGTGGGATATATAGGATATAAGTTTAAACTTGACAAATTTATGCTTTTGATGAAAAGAAAAAAAACAATTGTGCAAAAAACAGTTTATATTTGACAATCTGTGATTGTGAAAATCAAGCTATTCAAGGTCAAAATCATTTATTATAATGTAAAATATTTTAAAAACTAATATATGCATTGAAATTATCAAAAAATGTTAGGAACGCAGTAGCGTAGCCAGCCCCTATGCGTGGGGCTTTTTCTTTCATTAGTTTCTAAAAAAAAGTCTATGGCCCATGTTTCCCCGGGATGGGGGGAAGGGGGTGTTTCTGATGATAAGTGCATTAGGTACTGTTTCAAAACTAATTTTACTGAGTGCAATGGTCCAATAAGCAATAACTCACCATGGTTTGTGTGCTAAGAGTAAGAGCTAAAATTTTATGTTTTTTAGGAAGACAACCTTAATTGAATTAGCTGTATACAAACAAAATGTTTAATAATTACAATAATATTTAATTACTGTTATGGGATCAGTTATCCAGTAGCATTTTAATATAATGGGGGATATGCTTTGATACCATTTCCTTTGGTGACAAAATTAATTGCTATTTCTTGGCAGCTTGAGTACCATAAGAGAAAGCAGTATCTAACACAACTCTGAAAGTGTTGTATATATATTGTGCACGGTTGACGCATTCCCAGTATCGGTACTTACATTATGATTGAAGAAGTGCAAATGTTTACATTTAACAATACTATGAGTTTTGTATGCCTAATAAGGGTTAAGTCGATGTGGAATATACAATAAAATAATCAAACTCATAACATCGAAATATATAGAATATTTGGCAGTATTTTCCAAATTGGATAGCTAAGCATTCCACAAAACGTTGTTGATCAACAATCCATGGTCATCGCCTTAACCCAGATGGTCGAAGAGCACATTTGTAGTTCTTTTAAAATGGAAAGTCTATCAACTAAAAAGAGAATAATTTGGTTATTTATTGGGTGTATTTTACAGAAATACAATTGGATAAAACACAGCTGCATGCATACACTGAGACAACCAGTGTGTGGTTGTATCTATTATAAGAAGGGACCGTCAATGGTCAAACAAATAATTTCTATATTCAAAATAATGCTTACAGACTATAACTGCAAGTCATTGGTTAAGTGCACTACCTGGCCAACTGATATTGTTATTTAATTAATTAAGCATAGAAATGTGTTTATATTGGTACCTGACTCAATTCAAAAGTTTAAAAAATACTTTGGGAGTCCCCAAAATTTCAGTTAACAGTATAGTGTTTGGTACTCAAAGATATATTTCAGGTCTAAATGCTTTTACTATCTTTGTGTATAAGGAAACATTTTGGTACTAGCCTAACAAAATAATATTTCTATATATTTGTCATTTGGATATTGTTTGTATTAAATTGTTTGTACCCTGTACAGTATATAAAAACACTACTTGTACGCATCCCAAACATGTTTTTAGTGTCAGTTAGCTTTTGTCTTATACAGTATGCATCCGTTGTCTAAGGTACGAAATTTCACAAAACAATATTTTAAAATGATCAAGAAATGAAAAGAATCTCACCTGACTTGTTGACAGTATAAGATCTCACTCCTTCGGAGGACGTTTATTCAAATTTTCGTTCGTTTTAAACATATTCGTGTAATAATTTTCCGTTTAACAGACGCAGCTTGACATGTTCTTTCAAATTTTGTCCTCAAAATAAAGATTCGACGGAAGATGTTTTTAAAATCGCTGTTTTATTGCGAAAATTCCGCATTTCCCCATTAACTTCAATACAACAATTTGGTTCGGCGCTTACCAGACGAAACGCGTGGAAACTGCGTGGGCTTTCGAAATGGGGACACCAAGAACAAAGGAACCGACCGCGAGTCGGCCATCTTTATATACTTAAACTTTGGTTTAAAGGTCCCAACGCCTCGGCCACTAACAACGTCTGCCTTTTGATTGATGGTTTTTAAGATTATGCGTAATTCAAGATCAGTAAACTCACTGTTTTTAACAATAAGAATATTTTAACGTGTTAAAAACATTGAGTTTACTGATCTTGCATTGAATTATGTTTAATAATTTATTCTCCTAGTTCATACTAATTAAGGCATGAATTTGGAGATAAAATATACAGCCTGTATTCTGGGAGTATTTCCAGGCGTAAATACCCCAGGAATATCTGCAATATTCATGACCGTATTCGAACCCGGAATATCACCGAATATTGGTGATATTCCTGCCCATAATCCGACTCGCAATACGGGTCGGAATATCTATTTTATTCCGACCCATATAGAGACGGAAATACGTGGGAATACGCACTTTTTCTTGCAGTGGAGGGTGCGTAATGATGTCACTCATCATTAACATACGTCATAATTATAGGCAATGACGTCAAGCGGGCGAGTTTAAACAAGATCGGTTGAAACTTGCTGACTACGCATTTTTTAGCGTCCCCCACGTGTGTGGTACAATAGAGGGATTAATGTGCCATTACTACGATTGGTTGTTTGATTTAACGAGCGTCTGTATAAAATCGACAAGCGTCTTGTAACAAGCATCGTCTATATTTTGACAACGCTCTTACTGGATGTCTATTGGCAAGCTGCTGAAATTTATCTTCTTGGTAGAATTAACGTTTATTGGTTGTTGGAAGATAAAGTTTTTTGAGGGGAAACATGGCATAGCAACATCGGGAAAATATTTGGTAAGTTGACTTTGGTTATTTACAGCTAAGTATTTAAGGCAATCCTACAAGTATTTTTTGTGTATATTTTCAGGACAGAACGTTTATGAGCGAACTGGAAAATGATGAGATTAATCGCCAGCTTTGTGCCGTGGACACATTTTCTTGGTCCCCTGAAACTCAAGAGGAGATTCTTGCGGAAGGAAATAATTGGCAACACGATGAACCAGCTTCGACAGAACCAAGTTTGTGTTGTGATGAATGTGGTCGCGTATTTGCGCGTTCGGACAACCTCAACCGACATATGAAATCTCACAGTGACAAAAACCACGAGTGTTCGCGTTGTCGCAAGAAGTTTAATCGAAAGGTATGTAATTTACATGGATATATTTCAAAACATAATAAAATATTTTGAGCTAATAATATTTATACTATTTCAAGGATGCTTTGAACCGACACATGAAAACTCACAGTGACAAAGACTAATCGGAAGGTACGTAATTTACAGGGATATATTTCAAAACATAGTAAAGTATTTTGAGCTAATAATATCTACTTATATTATTTCAAGGATGCTTTGTACCGGCATATGAGAATGCACGAACAACGATGAGCCCAAAGGGAATACACCTGCAATATTTGCGGTGAGGTGTTCCGAAATATATTTCCATTTCAAGCCCATCAGCGCGAAGTCCACCAAGTTGGCGGTGGGAAACGTACGAAGACGTCAACTCGGCCAGCAAAAAGGCAAAGAACTGATGAACCGGGTATGTTTAAATGAAAATATTTTGATTACTAACTTTGTATTTAAACAGGCATTTTTCCCTTTTAAGAACTGCCAAGACTTTCGACATCGGTGAACGAAGGTAAGAGAGTATATGCTGTGTTAATAATTTGAATTAAAATCACACTAATACGTTTTTCTCCTTTTCAGGAGTTTCCACGTCTACTGTGTCAACGAAGGTACGAAATTCATTTTTTTTATACCAAATATAGTATATTTAAATTTATTTGATTGTGGGTAACATTCGCTAGCGTTTATATAGGCAAGTAAAAATAATCGAGTAATTTTTAGGCGTGTGTTTATCATGTTTCTATGTGAAATTTGCATGTTCCTAATTTATTCATGTTAGATTTATGAGTTATGTTCATTTGATTTAGAACTATTAATTTATGTCATTGTACGACTGTTACGAGCATTTACGCGACATAATTCTTGTAACTTTCGCTAGCGTTTTATAGCGATGTAAAAATAATCGAGTAATTTTTATAGCGTGGGTTTATCGTGTTGCTATTTGAAATCTGCATGTTCCTAATTTATTCATGTTAGACTTATGTCGATTTTTTATGAATCGGGTGTTTGTATGATAAAATTAGTGCGAAGCTCTAGACAAAAATAAAGAATCGGGTGTTATAATTTTTTTCTATAGGACCTCAACCGTTCCTTCAAGATCCCCTATTACCCCATCTAACCTTCCTTCCCAACTCCACCGTGATCATTGACGAATATTGTCACAAAAGCTTCAAAAGGAATAGGAATGATGCGACGAATAAAACAGTTTGTTCCCAAATCAACCTTAGTAAAAATATATAATGCCATTGTGCTATCACATTTTGATTATTGTAGCTTGGTTTGGGATAACTGTTGTGATTACTTAAAACCAGACTTCAGAAATTACAAAACAGAGCGGCCCGAATCATCACTGGTAAAACTTATGAAGTTAGTTCTGAGGATGTTTTAAAAGAATTAGACTGGCAACCTTTAAACCAACGATATAAAACCAATAAATCGATTTTTATGCACAGAATACGAAACGAAAAAATGCCATCATCAATTTGCAACATGTTCAAAATTAAAATAAATGACAGATATGATTTAAGAAGTAACAATAACAACTATGATCTTGGAAAACCTGAAACAAATTTTATCAAAAAGAGCTTCAGTTATTCAGCTGCATCCCTTTGGAATGACTTATTAACTACAGCAAAAGAAAAAGGCATTAGCCTTAACAAATTTTAACGTATTCTTGACGGCACTTGATTCCTTTTGGTAACTTTGTAAATATTTAAATAGGATAGGATATTTTTAGATACAAATGTAGTGCATGCAATTATTAAGTTCGTTATGTTTTCTCTGTTTTTGTGTGTATATTTGTGTTATTATATTTATATATATAGCTTGTAAATACTGTAATAAACGGCCTCTTGAAAAACAGGTGCCTACGAGCCCTGAAGAGCTACCGTTTTAAAATATTTTTAAATAATAATAATAATAATACTAAGTGGGTAGAGGCGGTGCCGCTAGCCAACCAAAGAGCCGATACCGTAGCGAAAGCGTTTGTTGACGAAGTTGTCACTAGACACGGTGTTCCTCGTAAAATTGTAACAGATCAAGGGAGGAACTTTGAGGCAGAGCTCATGCGGCAGGTGTTCCATCTTCTTGGGATGGAAAAATTGCGAACTTCGCCGTATCACCCACAAACTGATGGGCAGGTCGAAAGGTTAAACCGGACCTTGAAGGGAATCCTCACAGCGTACGTGAATAAAGACCACACTGATTGGGACGTTCATTTACCTCTCGCCTTGTTCGCATACCGCAACAGCGTACATTCATCGTCAGGAGTTTCACCGTTTAGAGCGGTTTATGGTCGTGAAGCCAGCACACCGTTAGTGCTGATGGGCACTCAGACAGAGGCAAAGGAACAGTTTATCTCGAACTACTGCGATGAGTTAGAGAAGTCCCTGAAGGACGGGCAACGCTTTGTGAAAGAAAAGATTAGTGAGGCACAGAGGAAGCAGAAAAAGGGATACGATGATCGCAACAACATTGACAAAAGCACGTCTTTTAAGGTGGGAGATCGGGTTTGGCTCAACGACACAGCGGTTCCAAAAGGGCTTAGTCGAAAGTTCCACCTACAGTGGGCCGGGCCTTACATGGTCCTAAACCGTCTTGGTGGCACAAATTACCACATTAAGCCCAAATCAGGAAATAGGAAATCTAAAGTGGTCCACCGCAATCGTCTGAAATCAGCTCCTTGCCGACCAAGAGTGGAGGAAGGCATGTCCACGTGCTCCCCGAAAGAAACCCAACATACCGCATTGCAGACCAACGAACCGATGGTTCATCATCAAGAGAATTTAGTCGTGCAACCTGCCCACCAAGAGAGGACTAACACGCTACGAAGGTCCACCCGTCAGCGTAGACAACCGGACAGATATCAGGACTATAATCTACATGAGGTAGAGATCGAGGACGCTCTCAATTAGAGAGGGGGATTGTGTAATATGTATGACTATAATAATAATAGGTATCAAGTGTCACAGGGGTGATTGGCAAGGTATTAGGACATTAGTAATATGAGACAGGGACATTAGAATTGTTATTGTGTGATATTCTAGCGTGTAAAAGAGTAATAGAAAAGTCTGGTTTTGTATCGTTGTTGTCTGATTCGCTTATATTACATAATCTTGAACTGTCTGTAGTGTAGGTATACAGGGTGTATAAAAAAAAACTGAACAGATTTAAAATTGCTCTCAATTTCGCAAAACAGCTATTTGTATCTGGTTTTTTATATATATAGCTTCTTTGGGTACTTATAATGTAAAATAATGAAAAAAATTTCTCGAACTCAAATTTTGTGAACCAGGGGGTGTGTCTTTTCCAACAAACTAAAAATGGCTCGCGCACAAAATTTAAAAGCTGCAATCATATTTTGAGTTAACAGATGGAAAATTTGTCGGGATTTTAATTACTGTACAAAATTTCAGACAATTTGGTTTAGTTTAAGCCCCTTAACTATTCACGCAAATTTAAGTTACAATTTTCCCGAAAAATCAGCTATTTGCATGCTTAATTAATGCATTTGCCTAATTTACATATGTCAGCAATATGCAAATTAGGTAAAGGCATTAATTAAGCATGCGAAAGGCTGACTTTTTAGAACAAAATGAATAATTAAAGGTTAAACTAAACCAAATTGTCTGAAATTTTGTACAGTAATTAAAAACCCGACAAATTTTCAATCTATCAACTCAAAATATTATTACAGCATATTATTATAGATTCTGCCACCACCATTTCAGCACCAAAATCTCAATACCATGTCAATTAGAACCATTTCACATGTGAGGTGAGCATCGGCGTGACAAGGTTTGGTGAGCATTGATTTGCAATCATTGGCAATGATGCGCTAACCAGTCTGCCAGACATAATTTAATTAATACTGGCAATCACAGTGTTTCAGATATGGAAATTTGAGCCCTCTATATAAGCTATGATCCATTTCTGGTAGCAACAATAGCTGCAAATAACACAAAATGCACCTCATATCCAAACTTGACGCTGTCCACCCTAGGTATATTTAATTAATGAACTTTTTCCTATGTTTAACTCGAATATCTGTCTAGTTTGCCTGTCAAAATAGACATTGACAGTACTTTTAATTCTTCTTATTCCAATACTAATTATTGTAGTATAAAATGTAGTTTTTTGTACATCATTCTGTAAAATATATTAATATTATATTCTAGCTGTAATGTGATTTAATTTTTTTGTTTATATTTTGTTTAATTTAACTAAATCCTTCTGATTGGTTTATTTTTTGTCATGTGATTGCTTTTATATTCTTATTACTCGATCAATATAAAAGCTCATGCAATTTTCCCGACACCAGCTAGTAACTCCACACAAAGGGCCTTCACTCAAAACGTTCAAATTCTCCTTTTACTTTTCAGGTAGAACTTAATTTGCATACCTACCAACGAAAGCTAGTTTTACTAAATAGATCCGGCCCAGGTTGGAAAATGTGTTAATTTTCACCTACGTCTAACTGCGAGTGGAAGCTAGGTTGGAGCTGCGAGTTAGAGGCAAAAAAAGCTGCAAGTACGTAGCATAGTACATTAGGTGAGATTAGCTGCATAGCTTAGCAGTGCGGGGGAGCAAAATTTGGTGCAAGTTGCCATCAGCTCAGCTGCGAGTGTCCTGCAAATTCGTTGCGAGCAAACAGTTCTCATGCGAGCAAATGCATGTTTTCCAACCTGGGATCTGGTCACAGAATAGAAAGGTAATAGCAGAAGTCTCACTCAAGCAAGTATTTGTCCGCGTTTTTACAAGTGATTCGTCATCAATCATGCCATCCTGGCTAGTACAACCGGCACTTAATTTGTACCTACCAAAACGTGATAAAAACTTCCGGTTGTACTAGCCAGGATGACGTGGATTGGCGTGAGCGAGTTCGTGGACGTAAAACAATAAGGGAAATGACTAGAGTTACGCTTCTGCTGTAACTTCTTATTAAGTGATCTGGTTGTCGATCAGCAGCGTTTATAGTCACTTAGTTTATATTAAGTATCCCCAACAATATAAATAAAATGTCTAAGTTTAAATTGCATATAATTTGTGAATTGTGAATACCATATAGACCCCTTCCAGCCATTTCCTGGGGGTCACTATATTTAGAATCATCTGAACTGCTATATTAATTTATAGCAGGTTTTTTATTATTACAAGTTACAAATTACAAAGTAATAGTTAATATAAAGTAAAATACAAATATTTTTATTAAAGGCAATGAAATTACTAATTTTATAGTCATATACTCATACTGATACAAATATCATAGTGACAAACCTGTAGTTTAGTTCATGACAGAAACCAGAAATTCGTTATTTTCTTTAAAATTTGCACTTTATTTCTCAATAAAACCAGATAAAACTGACAGAAGAATTTTAAAAATTACAAAACAAAATTATCTGACCAAAACATTAGGTTCCAGGCTTTTACGCGATTTCACCTTGTTGTCATAGGAACTGCACCAAGCTGACCAGCAATTTTGAAAATTGATCAAAATTATTGATTTTGAGTCCTTTTATTCTTCTTTTCTTCTCTTTTACTGGTTCAAGATAGACTTGCATGGTATTTTTGCGTTCTTCAACTAACACATAGCCACTGGTAAAGCGGAATTATGTTATAAAGTCAAGGTATACCGATCACAACATGGTGAGTTTATATATACTGTATAGAGTTTAAAACTCGTACAAATTGTACGTGTGATTTCAGGATTTATAACCTCGGTCTGTGGTGTTATAAATAGTCTTTGGCTCTGTGCCTGTTTGTATTAGGGAAGATAATTCACTATTGGGCATTGCCTGGCCGATATTGTAGACGAAAAGAAACGATTCATAAATGACATATTCACAAAGTTTTTGCATGCAAGTCTGAACACCCCCCCCCCCCCAATTTCTGGTGGGGTTCAAGCCGCACTACTCAGTGAGCTTCGGCAGGGGTTAGGCATTTGGGTTATAAGGCCATTCACACAAAATAGAAGGGGTGAAGCAAAATTTTGGTGG